ACTCTTTAAAGGGACTGAACATGAGCCGACTTTCTTAAGTAACTGCAACTCTCAGTGCTCAGAGTACTCAGGTCACCGCTTTGAATCTCTGGTCCTGCTGGGAACATGTTGGCAAGCAAAATGAATAAGTAATGCTATCACCTTACATAGCAACTGCTGCTTAAATGCCCTTGAGGAAGGGCACATAAACCTCATTAACCCCAGACTTAACCCCATCTGCTCCAGTGGATCTGCCCACTGGCATCAGTACCAGACCTGACAGCTTCCAGGTGTGAATTTTAAAGAGGGCATCATTGACAAAGAGCATATGTCTTCACTTGACTTTCCCTGATTAAATATGGTATAAAAATAGATCTGCTGTTGTCCAAAGTAGATATATAGTTGCTGGGAACCTAAGACTCACTGAGAGAGTACATGGATGCGAAATAAAATAATAAAGCTCCTCAGATCTTAACTCAAGGTTGACAGCACTTTGAAAACAACCTGCTGTCGCTTTACACTCCTCGCCCGGCAGACTAAGAGAAAATAAATCAAACGCAGCCTTCAGTGTTTGCAGTTTATTTACACACTTCCTCTGCTTATGCAATTTTGATTAAAATAAGAAATAAATAATAAAATTCAATAATCAGTGCTGTGTCCAGCGCTTGGGGGCACTGTTAAAAAACTTACATTAAATTAATATTCAATGAAAATAACAATGTAAATTAGTAAAAAAATGGCCTTGAAAAAGAGGAATCATACAAACTGATGATTGTATTAGTGGTGTTTTCACTGCTTACTTTCTCTTAGCACATCATCAAGGAAGGAACTATTAGTGAACTCTGCTGCTGCAATCTTTTGTGAGGAAAAAAACTTGCAAGAATGCAATCAAATTTTGTCCATCACTTTTAAATCACCTCCTGAGGCTACACTGAACAAATGAGACAAAGAAGCTCAGCATTACACTCAAATCTCAATGTTTTACAAAAACACAACCTGTCACATTTAAATATCTTATAAAGGTCATAAAAATTACAACACATTAATTTAAGTCTAATAATATAGTTCTGATGTCTAGACTCTATAATGATGAAGAGAAAAGAGCACAAGCCACAAAAATGATAACTTCCCTCATACATTGAATCACTTGTTCTTTTTTCTTTTGTCAAACAAATTCTCTGCTTTACACTAAAGCAAGTTATCAATTTATGGAGTATCTGTGCAGTCTAATACAATTCAATACAAGAGCTTGACAGTGACAGAGACAGACAGTGTTTATGTCACGCTCAGACTGTGCGTGACACATGTTGATTTAACTCGGTATTCATTGCTCGGGTTGTAGTGTGTTTTATTGGACTGCACTTGCCTGAAGTGTTTCTAAAATACTGCCCCTCTCATAAAAATATGCTTGAACATACATAAAAAAGACCTCTCACTATAAAGCAAGTTAAGTTGAATTAAATCTTGTCAGACACTGCAGTATTCTACTGGATGGCATTAGATCATACAGTACAATAAACTGGTAATTTACACTGTATTTACAGTGCCTTCAAGTGTGTCATTTTATTATTATCATTTCATAATGCCACTGATGCTGTACTTTTTTAACTGAATTGTATTTGTCTTGCACCAAATCATAACAGAAGTTATCCCAGGACACTCAGATATAGAGCAGGTGTAGCAGACTCCTTATCCAATTTTTTTCTATTCATAATTTTTGTCTTCTTTCTTGTTCCTAGCATGCCATTGAAATACAGGGAGCACAAAATCATCAACCACTTTTGAAAATGGAACAGCAGAATAGCAGTTTCTGTTGCCAGTCACCTCAAACAGGTCACATCCACCAGAATCAGAAAACCATTATTGTCCATCACAAGACATTCCAGGAACACTTGACTATCAGACATATTGTGACCTTGACTTCTTATGTGCCCAAAATATGACCTCAAAAGTTAGTTGGTCAAATACTGTAAAAGAAATGTCCAACATCTCTTCCATTTTTTTCTTTGTATGTCCATTGACATCGGTCTAGTGTCTCGTCACCAGTCCATTGATTCATCACTAAATCATAAATGATGTTGCATGTTTTAGTGAATCCTAAAAAGTCAGGGTTTTTTCATAAAGTCTTTTATTGGCATTATTATTACAGTAAGTCATTCATATTCATCATACAATTTTTATTTTCTTCATCCTCCTTCCTCTACCCAGCATTATCTTTGAATTTGTTTATGTTTCTACCAAAATCTGATAAAACAAATGATGTGTGAACAACATGATAGGTTTCTGCACCTGTGATATCCACCACTGCGACAAAACCTGGACGGAAATAAAACTTACAGCCTCACGGTGCACAGTTTGACAGCTCAGCCTTAAAAGCATATTAACCCTGTCTGGCAGTAAGTTTAATGGATAAACCCTGAGCCTCTCCACCTGCGCCCTCACTGTACATCTTCTCTCTGCAGGGGAGCATCAGCTAAAAGCCTCGTATGTAAACAGAGCTCGTTGCTCTTTGGTATGTCAGCGCACAGACGAGTTCGATTTAATGTCTCTTCCTGGATGTAACGCTGAGAGACAAAGGTGTTGATGAGTCGACCCAGCAGCTCAGCTCGTCTCTCCGCTGCTGTTTGATTAGCGTTACAGCTGCCACTGCTGCTGTTGTCAGCGTCGACAGAAAATCCCTCACTAATTTAGCAAATCTCAGAAGTGTCTGCTCGTTTCCTCAGCCGGCAGTTAGACTTGCACCCATCTCTTTAGAAGGACGAGATGTGGAGAGGCAATCTCCTGTTTTCACCGAGAGTACCTCTACTAGAATGTTCATTTGCTTTGTCATGCAGTTAAGGAATGACAAAAGTGAATAGCTCTCAAAATGTTGATTACTTAAATTTTGCCTTATGTAAGTTGCAAAAACTGTATTTCCATATTTCTGAATTCCAAATAACACAAAATACATTAGTGTCCTCCCTCATGATCCCTCCTCAGCATCTTGTATTCATGAATCTTCTCTGACATGAACGCAGTGTGACCAACAGCTGCCCCCGTAGACAGACTCCAGCCCGTCTATCCTCATCTCTCTGGTGTGCTCTTTTCACTGTCTGCCTTTGTTTATCCTCACATTAATGCATGAAATTTAACTTTTTGGCTCATCTGCCAAAGGTCTTATAAACTAAACAAACTGAAATGATTTTTTCATTTTTTAGACAGCCATCTACTTTGCATAATGATTCAGTGTGTGAAATAAAAGCGCAGTCATTAAAGCACAGAAAAGGTGGAGGCGAAGAACCGCAACACAAATACATCAAGTACTTTATTTTATATCCACTCTCTTCTGGGGTGTATTACTGAGCCTATATCTTTGCCACTTTCTAAAGAAGATGAGAGAGAAAAGTTACTCATGTTAAAGTCCGCCAGTAAGAAAGCAGTTCATGGGTAGCAACAGTAGAAACTGTAGCAAGTCTTGTTGCTATGGAAACCTGCAGTTAATTGTTTCTTGGAAGCCGGTTTAGTGATTTAACTGTTAAACTGACCTGTGGTTAGTCATTTTAAAGGCCACGAAAACACATTTTCTCAATCAGCTTCTTATTCTGAGCGATGGGCTCCTACATGAACACGCACTTCCGCCATGATTAGAGCAGTTTGAGTTATTTCACATGAGAGGTTTCTTTCTGTGGCGTGTTGTCACTACTTTGAAGTGAGTGGGGCTCAGTTGAAATTGTTTTCTTATGAGGCCTGGAAACAGTCAATCAAATCTGATTAAACCCCACCAACACATTCCTTATGATGCTGATTACCAGATTTTTGAGTGCTGAACTCTCTATGAATAACTAATGTTTTTATCCAAACTTTGACTTTGACTGATATTTACTGAGTCATAGATATCAAGTGTTATAGAGAAATACTTTACTTTAATGATTAGTTTCTTTATGGTTGCCTTATGAGCATTTAGTAAATGCCTATAATTCTTTTTTTTTTAAGCAGCCCATACAGCAAAGGATAAACGCCCTGTGTTATACACAGTGACATGTAAGACTACTCTTATTATATATATAAATATTTAGTTCACCCAAAAGTGGGCCAGTAGTATTTGTAATTGTCACTTAACTTCTTCTGCTTGACTTCAGACAGTAAGGATCATTATGAAATTAACATTAGCCACAAAGGAATCAATACTAGCCCAAACATGGGTGATACAACTACATAATTATGCATTTTGAATCTAAGTATTCCTTATTGCTTATTGCTTCCACTCGTAAAACTTGTACAACTATGTCATATCTTCACCATCCTAGGGGAAAAAAACAGCTCACAGAACAATACTGAATGATCAGAGGGGATTTGGTGTAGTGCACATGCCCTGCACTACAGCACTGGCAAAAAGAGAGGAGCAGTTTAAGGGTTCACCCAGCAAAGATTTCTCTCTCTTTTTTAGTGGCTTCACACTGTGTGTAACCACGTGGAAGAACATTTGTAAAGGTGCTCTTAGACAGTGAGTGGTTGCTACTGCAGAGTCCTACCAACTGGTTACACCAGTGTTCTGCATTTTGAATCCCCCTCTCTCTCCTTGCTGTCGACCTGTGCAGCATGCATGCTATTATGTTTACATGTAGGAGGCTGTGACGCGATCAACTCCCTGTGCACCATAAAGGTGTATCCACATTATCGCAGAAAAACAGCCTTTGCCTGCACTGTGTATGTGGTGTGTTGCACAGAGCAAACAGGCTTCACATTGAGACAGGACAAAAAATATATTTATTTGATTGATTTGATTGAAGAGCAGAGTGCAAACTGTGCCAACAATTATTGATTCAAAACATTCAAATATTCTTATCTCAAGAAGTGATTAGTGGGTGCAGTTGGTGATAATGGTTTTTATTCATAACTTTTTTGTTTCAGGACACAGTTTCTTTGTCTACAGTCCAGTCGTGACAGACAGTTTTCCATTTGATGAAGTGGTAATTAGCAGATGACAGGCAAACTTCTGAAACTTTATCTGATATTTGCATGTGTGTTTGTGTGTGTTGCAGAGCCCTACAGCCCAGCGGTGTGGGTGATGATGTTTGTGATGTGCCTGTCGGTGGTGGCTGTCACCGTCTTCATCTTTGAGTTCTTCAGCCCCGTGGGATACAACCGCAGCCTGCAGAGCGCCAAGAGTAAGAGACGGAGTCACTCCAGCGTCGGCATGCCAATCAACCCGCCGCCACTGCTCATTTCATGACATTATTACCAACTTGTCACTTCGTCAGTTATGTAAGCGAGGGGGGGCTGATTCAAGGAGGGTGTTTGCTCAAATTATGCTAAGCATCCCACTTTTTTGTCAACACATGAGTCAAAACAATCACTCCACACCCACGATCGAGCTTATTTATTTTTGATTAAAACAAACACTGACTGCGTGGTGTTGGTTTGACATTTTTACAGTACTTGTCAGTTCATCATTTATTCCAACTGCTGTACTGGCTGCTACATTCATTTTAAATAATCATTTGGAAATGTTATTCATTACTTTATAATAAATTGACACAAATGGAATTATACTGAATTGGAGAGACGGGTAGGTTTTTTTTCATCATTGGTTGTCAGTTCTAGCTTCTTCTTTGCTAAAACGCGTCCGCTTGTGCCTATTTTCTCACAGTTTTTAATCTTAGCCTCCATTTCCATATTCTTCTTAACCTACAAAACAGTAGGTGGTCGAAAAGTCCACTTACCAGCTTCTTGGGACTGGAGAAGCTCACACACCCCTCCAGTCCTCTTTTTCAAGTTGGGTGTGCCAGCAGAGATCTTGACCCTCCTATTGTGATGGGAAATATACATATATAATGTTGAGAATCAAATGAACCCGCACTGTTTAATTAAAACAGAATATATTAACATGTCCCAACATATTAGGATCTAAGATGACCAAACAAAGCTCAAGGAGGTCATTCACATGGTACATCAAAGACCATTATTGAAGCGTGATAGGAGATTACTACACCCCACTCCATATATGACCTCTTCAGCTCTGTTAGTCATCGTATTTATTACCTTTAATAAGCAGTTCATGATTATGTCCATGTTTTGAGATATCCACCTCACTCTCAACTCATCAAATACTACCCGTTGGTCAGTGGACCTCTGCATCAAAATAGAACAATGTAGGCACTTTCTGGCACAATTTCTGGACACAGGGCTCCTCTCAAGGCTCTGCAGTCTAGTTATCAAAAATAAATTTGCAACTTAAGACTTTCTTTTACTTTATACTACATCCTATGCAGACTTTAAAGATGGGCACATCCAGAAATCCCTCTAGAGGGACAGCTACAGCGTTACATTTTGAAGTGGCTGACCAAACAGCAGTATTTGACGAGTAGGAGGACGAAGGGAGACAGAGTTGCAGATTTCTGTCTCATTTGGTTCCCTTTTGTGATGTTTAAAGCATCAGAAGGACACTGTTTTCATGATGATACTTTCTACTGAGGACATAGTAGAGATCAGATAGTACTGATCCAGCAAATATAACTAGAATATGAGTGTATGACTACTAGATACCACCATAATTACAGTAAGTGGGAAATGTGTTCACCCTTCCTTTCATCTCTCTTTTAGCTTTCAAAGTTTTACGCTTCATTTTGCTGTTAAGCAAAATTAAGTCTGTCTATTGGCTTTAAAATATTCTTCTCTGCCTTCTTTTCCTTCCGTCTTTTCATTGAAACATCCAGTTTAACTGCAGGAAAGTTGACAAGTCAGTAGATTCTTCAAACTCTCATCTTCTCTCCCCCTATCCCCCACCATCCCATCTAGAACTTGAGAGTGTGATGAATCTCTTTACAGTAAGAACTCTATCACCACCTTTCATTTCAAACAACCAACTAAATTCCTCTATCTGCTCTATTTAGTCTCTCATCCTTCTCTCTCCTCTGAGGCTTCACAGTCTATATCCAACATAAGGGAGCCTACTGCCAGGTTTAATTTGTAATACCTCCGTAAAGTCTTTCCTCTACCCTGTCTTTAACTATCATCTTTTGACAGCTCCAAGATCAACGTAAAGCAGTTTGTACCTGCAATCACTGCATAACCCAAGATCATAACGGATATGGCCAAAACTATCTGGACGTCACTGTCCACATGCTTTTGTGTACTGTCGGCATGGTGGAAAGCTTAAAACCCAAAAGAAACAAGGCTGTTACAGCAGCAGATGAATGCCCGTTCACCATTTACATACTGTTAAAACTTGGGTGTCCATATACTTTTGATCATTTAGTATATTTTATGTCCGTAACAGTTTATTTGGATAGTCTGCCAACAGATAGTATTTGAAACATTTCCACTGCTTCTTCTGTAGATGTTTACCAGCTTATCTATACTGTATAAGTGGCAATTAATACCTTAAACATGTGCGTAAACCTAACTAAAGATAAACCACAGTGGTACAATACCAGAAAACGGTTTTATTTGTTAATACGTTGTTACGATCTGTAAGTGGACTATCAAAATAAAGTCTTGTGTCTTATCATTAAATATAGGCCTGCAATATGTTCTCATTATCTAACTGATGCTACTGACCCTCCTACTTGGTCTAATATCACTCAGCACACCTGTGTCGAAGTGTTCTTAATCTCCTAAAAACTTTATTTCTTTTACACTTTGTCCTTCTCCCTCTCTTTCTCTCTCTCTCTCAGAGTCAGGAGGATCTAAATTCACTATAGGGAAGTCCGTCTGGCTGTTGTGGGCACTGGTCTTCAACAACTCTGTGCCTGTGGAGAACCCCAGAGGAACCACCAGCAAGATCATGGTGATCACTCCACCTGACTTACTGACTCACTGTTTAGTTGATTGGCTGGCTGATTGCTTGATTGTTTCATGTAGTTGGTAGTTAGATGACCACTCAACACCTAGAAGCCATTCATTTAAATATTTGCAGGTGAATTTTTAGCCGTCTGGTAATTTTAGATGTTACATAACTTTTGTTTCAACAGCATTTAAATCACTATGTATGTTTCTCCATGCCTGCCTCACTTTAAAATGTTGTTATATGCAACCTAAATGTTTTCAATGTTTCAATCAATTAGTCAGTTTTTTTTAGATTATTACATTAGGTATTTAACTATTTGAGGCATTGATTGATTACTTTATTGATTGAAAGGTTTTACAATACAATATATACAACATACAACTCCATCTACAACTTCATCGTGAGTATAATTTCTTGAGTTTTTTTTATCCCCACACTGGCACATCCCTAATTTGCATTATCATGAAAAAAATGAAACTTGTGAGCTTTATGAGCTGGTGCAATCAGTTTGAGGGTGTTCATTCACTTGTTTCACCCCAGCGGCCTTTTTAATACCTGCTGTTACTCTCTGCCTTCACAACATGAAAAGAAAAATCAGTCGAAGGCTTGCCCCCACTACTGCAGAGTAAAGAGCCACAGGAGGTTAAAAACTCGAGGTGTCTTTTTCTTCTGACTGCCTGCCCTAGTGCTTTTCACAATAACCCCAATCATCTCAAGAGCTCATTAGCTGCTCGATAGGCTTTACAAAAAAGGGTCAGAGGAAAGACTTTTTGTTCTTTTCTTCACAAATGTTGTAGTTTTTAGTTTAACTGTAGATTTGTTGTATATCACCTTGCAGGTAGAGTAACATGAATGGTCCTGTAGCCCATCGGGATTTTTTAAAATTACACTGAAGAGACAACTGTGTCTTTAAGAAAAGTAATATGATCCATTTTCATAACACATACCAGTTAAAATATCATATAAGATAACCGCAAATAATCATAAGCAACAAAAAACAAAACAAAACAAGATAAATGTAATCTTTCATGAAAGCTTATTGTCTAAATTAATTTTTCCTACTTTCTTAAGCCTATTCAGGGTCATCAGTGCCAGTGGATAATTGACAACCATGTATTATTTATATTATACATTAAAGTTTTAATAGGCTTTATATCGACCCAAGGGTCATGAAACTCACCAGGGAGCCATTGGAAGCGAGGAGTCTGTCCTTCAACCTTTCCTGTTAGGACGAATCCTCCTGTTGAAGCGCCGTTGAGCAAAATCCTTAATCCTCATCCGCTAAGATTACTTCTTTTAAAATTATGCCTCAGTTGCCAGAGCTATGAGTGTACATTTTTCATCTTATTCATTAAGGAAATTATGCAAATGAACTTTTGGCATAAACACAGAGAGTACTGTGGAAGCAAATAGCCCCGTTCATTACTGACTGCAAGTGCAAATTTAGTGCTAAAACTAATCCACGTCTCTCACTTGGTTCCTGGCTGAATGTCAACAGTGCAGCATCTTGCAGCAATAAAAGAAGCACTTCTGTACAGCTAAATGTCTTCACAGCAAGTCCTTAAACCACCTTTCAAAGGAGCTTTTATATGTGCTACAGTGATTTGGGTCGACTGGTGTTATCTAGTAGTGGAAGTTGTGCTTAGATCTGATACTTAAAAGGTCAATTGTTTAACATTTTACAGAATCTATCGGCAGAAATTAAATATATGGTATCTTTTCATTAGTGTATCATGTAAAAGCAAGAATTAGTGTCCCATTACATGTAAAGGTCCTGTTAGGTAAAGGTGTAAATGCACTTAAAAGATAAAAAAGAAAATATTCTATATTTCATTATCATCAATAAATTCAATAAAAATACCAAAACCAAAAATAAATATATCCAACAAGGAAGTCTGACAAAAACACATAAATTAGCCACACTGCTGCACTGGGTGACATGTTCCTTCAGTACTATGAACACACACACACCATACCGCTACCAGAAATAGAGCACCAAATGTTATATTGATCCACAGCTAAAAATGGTCCAACAATAAAAAGCATTTACTCCTGTTTGGGTTTGGTACAGTACTAAGCAGTACCTCAAATATGTACTTAAATACAGTGCTTAAAGAAATGTGCCGTATTTTTTATTCATATACTGTATGTGAAGTAATTACTGGAAGGGTGCACAAGAAGATTTCGTTAACAGCGCTCTACAATGTGTTACTTTATTATTATTATAAGTTTGAGTCCAAGCAGGGACAGACAAATGCAGAGGTTGCGGTGACATTTTTTTGGAGCTGAAGTGTCATGCTGACAAATACAACTATACCCTCTAGGCAAGACAGAGTGTCAGCTGTGGGTTTAACAATGAAATGCCAAGAAGTGAAAACAGTGTCACTGAAATCTTAAAATACTTCTACACCTGTCAGATTCAGCCCTCATTGATCTTACTCCACCGCACTCCTCCTGCAGGTGCTGGTGTGGGCCTTCTTTGCTGTCATCTTCCTGGCCTCCTACACTGCCAACCTTGCTGCCTTCATGATCCAGGAGGAGTACATCGACACAGTGTCAGGACTGTCAGATAAGAAGGTACGGTCTGGGTGGGATGGATGGATGGTGTGACTGATGGATGTATGAATGAACAAGTGGATGCAGTGATAGATGAATAGATGGGCCAGAAATTTAGCTTAGCAAGGATTCAGAATGACTCTGACAGGCTTTTGAACATTTTTAACAGTAAACGGAAACAGATGAGAGAGAGAACAAAGACTAGCATCCTCCTGCGAAGGTTGTTTTGTTTCTTGTCTTTCTCCAGAAGAGGTGGGCAACTTCAGAATACCTTGAGTTAACAGAAAAAAAGTAAAATATTGTATATACTCCCTCGAAATGTTCCCGTTCCCTGTTGCCTCCTTTTATTTCTCAATGCAGTTTCAGCAGAACCCACAAAACTGTATCCTGCTGCTCTGACACTTTAAAAGCTCATCTGTTTTATCAGTCTCCCCCCTCAGCTCCTCAGAAAACTGTAGCAGTAACGTTCTTTGAAAGTGAATACTTTGTAGCACTTCATCCTGCGGCAGGGATCAGCTCCTCTCCCTCCACTTGGTCTAGCTCTCTTAAACTTCCTTCTTTCCTTCTATCGCTTTAATCTCCGCCCACCTCTTCCTCCCGTACAGTTCCAGCACCCGACGGAGCAGTACCCACCGCTGCGTTTCGGCACAGTGCCAAATGGGAGCACAGAGGAGAACATCCGCTCAAACTATCCCAATATGCACCAGTACATGATCCGCAACAACCAGAAGGGTGTGGAGGAGGCCATTGAAAACCTCAAGACTGGGTAAGGAAAGGAAAAGAGAGGGACATAGGGAACAAGGAAGTAAGGAAGCGATTAAATGAAAGAAAAGTAAAAGGACTTATGAAAAAAGGAAGCTTAAATGATGAACCAGACAAGGACAGAACCCATTATGAGTTTTCTGTTTTGGTATCCCCTGATTCTGTAAGAAACATACTTTAGAGTGAAATGTTTTATACTTCTGCTCATATTCTGTTTCCTTTTAGAAAATCAAATCCTCTGTTTTATTAAGTCCATAAGGTTCAATTGCATTCAATTCATAAATCTAAAACGCCTCCCTTCTTAAGAGCTGATGATCAAATTACCCCCTTTTGGAGTGGCTCGCACTTGGCAATGGCAATAAATTTAAGGGAAGTGACCAACCCTTGTTTTTTCCCCTCTCTGAGTTCTTGAAACGCATTGTTCGCTCTTAATAAAGTCACAATAGAGTCATTTCAGTGTGCGGTGGTGGATTTTTATCTCCACCTCAGATATTCCTGCAACCTGCAGCACCTGTCTGCTACTGGATGTGCATCGGGAGTATGGTTCACATCGTATATCTCTACTTTATTATGTCTGATATTGTATTAGGAGGAGGACATTACATATCCATGGTCCCCACACCCAGGTGTTTTCACTTTATATACCGAATTACCTCCCTGATGGCGCAGTGAGACAAAATTATTTCTAAACATAAACTGCTGGAGCTAGCATGGCTAGGATGCTAACTGAAGCATTTTACTGTTAGTAACCTCTGTCACTGTTCTAACCCTAACCCTCGGACAATCAGCATCTATTATTTTCTGCTGCTTATATTATTTCAATGTGCAGTTAATAAGAATATAAAAAACTATTTCCTTAATGAGAAGTCAATACCACGCCCTCTCTCTCTCTTTCAAACCATCTCTACATAGAGAGCCTTGTGATTTTGAGGGTCAAAATTTAAAGGTTGAACTTTGAATGACGTGAAGGAGGCAAGAAAGAAATAAGTGGAGAAAGAAACCAAATGGAGATCCTTCCCTGGGGGACATTTTGCTGCCGTAGACTGGGTTGCCATAGAGAGAATGGTCACTGTGAATCAATACAAAGTTACTCGGAGTGATCGCCTTTATCCTGTCATGAAATATTTCTATCTTGATGGGAGTGATCTCTGCTAGGATGATAATACCCCCCCTCCGAGATCCACAGACCTGGAAAATCAATGACAAGGAGTATTGAAGTTGCTCTGGAGGTTGGTGGTGGAACAATGCCTTACAAAGACACTTTTTGTAACCCATCTGCAGTTCTCAACATAAAGGCAGTAGGAGACGTGTGTTTTAAACAGCTGCCTATGGAGATTACAGCTCACTAGGCATGTGGATTGATACATTTGTAGAAGTCGAAGCATATGACATATAACAGACATCGCTCCAAAAACACTTAAAAGAATAAAGAAGAACATACTTCTACTGTCATGCACTTTAAAAAAATCTCTGCCAGCTTTCTGCCACATTCCTGCTGTAATTCACAAGTTGAAGCTGCACATTTTTTGACAGCAACTCAAAGGGATACCACCCTTCCTCCTCTGCTTTTTATTTATTTTTAACTACAGGCAACATTGTCATCCATGGCTCGTTTCAATTACAAGACCCTCTTGTCTTTCGCAACCTGTTACCGTATTGATCTGCCTCGCCTCCGGAGCCTCGACTAACTGCTGTAACCTGTGCAGCTCCATTAGGATCATGGCTACTAAACGAGGCGAAAGAACAGGAGGCAAAACAAAGTACTTTTAAATCACATGCTAGCAGCAACCGCAGTGCAGGGGGAAAATCCCGCCATCTCAGCACCAGCTGCCACTCAGGCGCCGCTTGTCTTGGGGAGGGGGGTGTTTATTATCCGCCTGTGGGGCCACAAAGTGCACAAAGCACTTGCCATAAAATATACATTTGCTCATCGTGTTTGAAGTTAGAGGGGGGGTGAGGAGGAGGGGGAGTGATGTTAGTTGTTGCAGACTAAGGGTTCAAATGTTTAATGGGACAATCAAACGCACACACGCACACACACTTTGGCATCCTGACAAGCAGGGGCTGCAGTCTTTAGCAGATTTGACGTACCGTGTTATTAAAACTCCCATGATGCATTCCTTTTTTATCATCTTTACTCATCCTCCTTGTTCTTCTTAGATCAGTTTCTACCTCTTTATAACTCATTTTCAGCACCGAACTCTCTTGCCGTCTCTCTCATTATCGCTGTCCGTGGACATATTTCTCTCTACCTCTCATCCCAGCATTATTTACAGAGGAGACATTAGTTTACGCAGTCAAAGCAAAGCGCTGTGGAGATTCCTCTTTGATTCTGCTGTCGAGGCAACAAACATCACCTCTCCATCTTTGTCTTGTCTTTCCGCCTCCTCTCCGAACTCCCTCTCTCTCTCTCCTAATCCTTTTTCTGTCTTCTCTCTGGCCTTCCTCCTCCCTCATTAACTCCTTGCTCTTGGCTCATCAACTCCTTTTGCTTCTGCTTCACACTTCCTCCCCTCCTCCCTCCCTCCCTCTAATCATTATCTCTACCCCCCCTCCCTTCTCTCCTTTTCCTGTCACCCACCTCCTCCCCTCCTGCACCATCTAACCTCCTCTTCACCTCTTTTCAATCTTCCATCCTTCAGCACAGTCGTCCTCTCCTCCTCCCCTCTTTCCAGGAAGACTTTGGTTGTACAGTGCTGCTTCCCAAGTGTGAATATAAATGAATGTGAAGTGAAAGAGCAGGTGTAGTTAGAAATCCATCATCAGATCATCAGATATTCATCATCAGTGTGAGCCGAGCTGTTACATTCAATCCATTATTTTATGATGAAGTGTTTCAGCTTACTTTTGGTGTACACACAATTTTTTCTCAACCTGCCTTTTCTGCTTTTCCTTCACTGAGTCATTTCAACGGATGCAACTAGTACGATTTTTTAAATATATACTTCAATCTATTAATTTTTAAATCAGGTAGTTAATGGTCAGATTGGTTCATTTTTACACTGATATAAAACAATGAAAAGCTGCAAATCTTCACATATGAGACATGACTTAAGCAATAACTCGGTTACTAAAGTTGTACTTAACATTTTTTTTAGAATCCACTAATTGTTACAGCTCGAATTATTTACTTCTTTTCCCAAAGAGTGTCAGTCAGCTACATTAGCAATAATTCCAAATGCTTAATGTCACATTTTGTAGATGTTAAATTTGAGCAGCTAAGTGATAAATCCTTTAATGTCAGCACCCTAGTTGTAGTTATGAGTTGGAAGATTTGGTGAATTTCTAACAGAAAATTGACTGAAAGATTTAAAGAACAAACACGGGTCAAAAGGGCTGCACATGGCTGACAATTCAATATTATCATACACAGGATTTTAGCACATTTGTATTGTCATGATATTAACATTCTGGGTATTGTTTTACAAATGAGCGGTGTCCAAATCAATGATTTTAAGTTATATTTTCAGGCTACAGAGTCTTGCGTGCTTCAATGCATAACTGAAACGCTATTTACTGCAAACACATTAAGCTTGATGATTCTATATGAGATTTTGCATATTATTTGCCACCTTGTGATGGATATCAATATTATATAATGCAAAATCACCACCGAATATAATGCACAAAAAGCCTTAACATATCATATTCAATGTCTGGTTATATCAGGTTTTCCTGTTCCAATCTCCTGAACATTCAGTGTTTGTCGCCTGTTAACGGATTTTATATTCTTTGTGTAGGAGAAACAACAACCTGCGTTGTGGAATTTTTGTCTCCCCTTCACCTATAGTACGGGAAAGTCCTAGGCTCATGTTTTGAAATTGTTACAAAAATACAGAGACATGTCCACAAGACTATAATCCATTATTTGGGTGGAGTAAACATAATAGCTAGCATACTCCAAATATTTTACAAATACCATCCTGTCCAAGAGCAGTAAAGTGACATCTGTGTCTGCCCTCAGTCCCTTCTCTTTCAGCACTCTCCACCAAGGAAACGCTATACTGATTGTTTTCTGTGTTCGTCCTCACCGTCAATGCCTTTTTTTAAAAATGTAATCCTTCCTCTGAACACAGAGTTTCTATTTTAGCATCAGCAACTTTTCTTGGATGCTTCTTAGGTTTTTTGCCATAGACTCCAATATACTCCTAGTTGCTGATAGCCTCCTCTATCACTACAGTTACTCTCCCCAGAATTGCTGGTTGACATAAAACCCATCACTACCGGTGTGCAAGTGCAAGAATGTCACTACAGACATCAGATTTAAAAACTAAAGTATACTGTGAAATACAGAGAGATTTACCTGCTGGTGATAGGCTTCATCAGCATTGAGTGAATTCGTTTGGCAACAGCTTGAATCGGACATTCATTTATATTTAAAAACTGTTGGGCATTGTCTTAGCGCTGGTTTATCCATAATCTCTGTCACTTATTACACTAGTTGCACTTCTTCTGTTGTCATTCACCTCCAGGTCAGTAATTTCAGTTTCTTTCTTATAATTTTCCTCCTTCCTTCCCTGCAGGAAACTGGATGCCTTCATTTATGACGCAGCGGTGCTGAACTATATGGCCAGAAAGGACGAGGGCTGCAAGGTAAGAAATAGATGCCATTCCACAGCTCTGCATAGTGACACACTCATACATAGTGGCAGCTATTGTTGAAGGCCCTGTACCCTGCAGCTACTGAGTGCTAAAACAACCTCAGTGTGCTCAGCCTAACCATATGCAAAGACCAATTGTAACAAAAGCACAACAAGCATGCCAAATGAGTACTTCTACATCTGCATTAAACAAATCAAACACATCACATGCATTTATATTTGTCCCTCGAGGCCTGTAGCTGGTTAATATTGTCATTTCTGGACAGCACTCGTGTTGATTTATTTATAAGTTTGCATTTGATATGGCTCCCACAGCGAGATGAAAATCCTACCCAGTGATCATTTGTAATAAGGTTTGTGGGAGGTCTGAGCTCCCAGCAGCCTCATACAACAGCCATCACTGCAGTAATTATTACAACTGATGTGGATCTATATTAATTCCTCCACTGAAACAATATCCCACACTCCAGCACTGGGATTTTAGGGGATGCCGATATTAGAGATGAGCCAACTGCTTTGCATGTGTGCAACAGTAGACAGAAAATATTACAGCAGAAATCAGTACTAATTTTCATTTGTTTATTGCCATCTGTCTCTTTGAATCTGTCTAGGGATTCATGTGCTTGTGTGTGTACGCGTGGATATGTGGGACTTTACGTGTTTGTGTTTTATTCCACAAGGTGATGACCATCGGCTCTGGTAAGGTGTTTGCCACTACGGGCTATGGCATCGCCCTGCACAAGAACTCTCGCTGGAAACGGCCACTGGACCTGGCTCTACTGCAGTTGGTTGGAGATGGTAAGACAGAAGGGTAGAGGGTGGGGCACTCAGGAGCATACGGCTGACAGATGAAGCATTTGAGTCACAAGAAATGACCTCAAAAGAGCAGAAAGTCATAAACATTTCCCACTGTTTGTTACTTGGAACGGTTGGCTAGTCATTAGGCCAATGCAAATAAAATAACCTGATTAAAGGAAAAGGAAGGTTTCATTCACGAGTCTTGTAACATTTCTGAATTGCATGATAGGAGAACTGCAATCCATCAGTCACTGCATGCTTTCCTCATTTCACTCATTTCATTATCAAAACCAAGCTGGAGGTAAAGAGGCCATGTTCACACAGGCAAGTTAAAGGCAGAATAAGGAGGATTTTTTCAGTTGCTGTTTGTGAACACACTAAAGTTGGCCCCTCCTCCCCGACTCAACAACCGAGCAAGCGGGAGTGACAGAGAGTAGCGGTGGTCGAGTGATCTTTACAGTGAATGAAACCAGAAACAACCCGAACACAGAAAAATAATAAGATTACATTTTTTGAATGCAAATCACAAATAATTGTCAAATAATAATTAGCCGCTGGCTAAAGTGTCTTTTTACATATCCGATAGAAGAGTTTTAAGTAATTTGTATTGTTCTAGAATGTCAGGAAATCAAGTATAACACTAGAAGGATAGGAAACATTTGATAAAAAATCATTTTGCAATTCATCAATATAATGTGGACAAGGTCAACAGTAGATTTTATTAGTCAGCAGTGTGATACAGATGGTGGTTAGATAAAAGAGGACTAAGTCAGGCAGAAGTCAAAGATGAGGAAGAGAGATGGTGCGAAAGGCATGAGGGAAAGGAACTTTTGAGGGGTGAGGATTGGGGAGGGTGTGATGGGACGGGTGAGGGTCAGTGAAGAAATGAAAGGAGTGGAAGGTTTGAAGAGGAAAGAGAGAGGAAGATCAATATAGAAGGTTAGAGGGAGGCAGAGCAGAAAGGAAGAGGAATGGAGGTGTGATCTACACACACACTTGTTTTCTTTCTATCTGTTCACACACTGTAGCACATCACACGTTCTCTGTCACATCTCTTTGATTACCCACACACACACACACACATATTTATTTCACTTATTTGTTGTTTATGTATGTTGTTGTTTTTGTAACAGTCACCTTCTATTTGAGATGTCACATTTTTCTTCTTTTTTTCTAAAGCTGGGAGATATAAAAGTTCCTGTGAGGTTTCACCTCCATGCCTCATCTTTCTTCCCATCTTCTGACTTATTTTTCACTTAGATTTCACATTTCTCTCTACAATTCAAATTGCCTGTCAAGATCATTTGAGGTCTTTTGGTTTCCTGTTGAGCTGAATGATGACATTTTATAGCAGATTTGGGTTTAGAAATGTGAAGTGTGCTATTGCTGCAGTGACAGGTTATTTTTATATCAGCGTAGTTCTATAAAAGCAAATGTTAATAATATAACATAACACCACAAAAGATCGATGATAATTGGTCTCACAGAGATTTCTTTCATTGGAGGCGGATACAAAAGTCTGTTTTTCATGTGTGTTTAAATAAAATTCAGTCTTTGAGCACTGATGATTCTGTTGCCCTGATGAGAAAGGAAAGTATCACGACAAACATTCCTAAAAATGCTGGAAGAAAAGGCTTTCTCTTCAGCTGGTCCTGAACAGCAGCTGGCAGTATGACAGAAACAGTCACACACATGCCTACACTGCATGTCACCTCTAGTAAAGTTCATTTATACAGTAGATACACAGTTCACCTTCAGAACCTTTTATGTGTTTATAGATGCAGAAAATCTGGGCTGTTCCAAAAGGTCTTATGGTGGGGGAAATTTTCAAAAATAATATAGGACTAAACATGAGGTGATTTATTTATTTATCGCCCAGTTATTCTTAATGAAAAGAGCTACTTAACAGCTTAAACATGCCCTCATTAAAAAATAATGCAAAACCAGACTTTGCTTTTGAAAGTCTTTAAAACAGTTTAGAAGCTGTAATGCTTTCATATTATGTATTTTTAGGCTAATTATTTTACCCCCCAAAAAATGATTGCCCTAGAACATACACAGTACCTAAGAAACCACAGTCACAGGACGCTCAGAGAAACTCAGTTTCTGTTTGGGAACTATTAATTTTTATATTGAAATCAATATTGATTTACAGTTTAATGGTCTGCATTTACTTTAGCAAGAGTTTAGCTAGAGTTTTCTTTCTTATTTACCATCATGAATTATTATTATTATTATTAATTATTTATATAGTAAAATCGATGTCAGAAAATCAGATACAGAAATATAGATATATATTTATATAGCAGCATGGGTTGGTAACTTGTTGCATTCAATGTGAAGTTACTCTTTAACTAAGAAAAGGAGTAAGTGTAGAAGAGAGAAAGACAAGGAAAAAAGTTAGCTAGAAAAGAGCAGGATGTATGAGGAAAGGAGAAGTAGTGGAGGCGCTCATCGCTCCTTTTGGTACCTTTTTAATAGCACGATTAACTGGCTGGCATTGTTAACCAGTCTGTTTATGCCTGTTTGTGTCAATCATGGTCTCTCAGCGCTTCACAGTCCTGCTTCTGATGCGTGTGAGTGTCTGGAAGAGGGGGTTGAAAGGAGATAGATGGAAAGATAGAGAAAATGAGAGAGGAAAGACTTTTAATAGTCTGTAACAGTACGTATATGTGTTTACTAGATACATGAACTGAGAGAAGGTACATCAAAATTTGGATCTGCAAACATATATACACAGACATATTTGAACATCCAAACTTCAAAAATATGTCAAAATAAGATACAAATATTAAATTACTCAAAAATATGTTCAAATTACTGGTTTCTAGGTGAAAAACGATGCTACCAAGACAAAATCAATGTTATTTTATTAAAAGCATTTGACTTCTTATCTTCCAGCTGTAGCCTACTTATAAAGCAAATATAATGTTCTGATTTCTTTTTGATTGAGATGTTTTGGCAATATTTGCTGTCCTCCATTCATGTCAGAAGCACTTTGAATAGAACAGGAGGAAGCGATGTTGAATAACTTTTATATACTGACCTTGAAAGGTTCCAGTAATTTGGTTTGCAGTAGTTACAAGGATAGTCAAGAGCCCTTCTTTTATGTTTCAATAATGACGGGAGCTTTTTAGCTTCTGCTGGCGTCAGTGCTCAGTAATGGTAAAAACAGTGATAAATCTGCATTCAAAGAAAAAAAAAAACCCTTGACACTGAATGAGTACCTACTTCAATACATCAGAAATCATGAAGATGAAGCAGTAATGCAAATAAGCTATGAATGACAAGAAGCAAAATGACTTCACAAAAGCTAGATGAAGACTATCTCTATGACTATGTTTAGGTGCACAGTAGTATTCTGTTGATGTGTTTATGCTCCTACACATTTCATCCTGGTTTCAGAAATAGGTCTGCATCCTGGTTTTGAAAAGCTCACTCAAACTCTGATAGAAAGGTTTTTGATCATCTTGCAGCCTAAATCTCTATTTAGATACAGCAGCACAATTATTTTACATTAAAGCAGCTACAAGGAACTTTAATTTTGTGTTGATTCTGGAGGCCCCTGGGGATGCCGTAGTTTTTCCACTGTTGTTTATTTCAAGGGGAATCCCACCAAACCCGACCCGGTGGCAGGCATTAAGATTAAACAGCCAATATTCTCGCTGATGGTCTTGTTTGTTATGTAGGTCATATACAGGCAAAATATTAAATTGAGACTGTTTTATAACCAGTTAAAAAATGTTTAAAAAACACAGACACACCGAAGGAAGAAGTGTGGGAAATTATAATGTTTCTCTTCCTTTTGAATGTTAATTTAAGTTACACAATGATATAGATTATGTTCATTGTATGTACCTATGAATTTAAGTGTAATTCTGACATTGGTAAGGCAGAATTACAAAAGCAGCAAACTTCAGGCAGCCATAAAGCAAAGTTGCTTTATTCCAAACAGTGTCAGCAGAAAGTACAGAGAGCGGAGACGAAGTGGACAAAAACATCAAAACACACCTGTACAGATAGCACACAGTATACAGAAATTTTCTAATGTCATCATTTATTCAGGTGTGTGAATAAATGTTTTGTGTAATAATCCAAATTGGATTAAGAAGTTATTTGTCTGAACAACACTGAAGGACCTGCTGTAAATTGCATTTCACGTTTTTGCTTAATACTATTTAGGTTAATTGTGCTCTCTATATTGTTCACCCAGAAACTCCACACCGAGCCATAGCAACCTTGTAACCAACCCCAAAGACATCACATGAATTCATTATTCACAGCACATGCACTGTGGCCCTCAACAGGTCCTGTAATTGTTCCTCATAATACATCTCTTTGTTAGAGCACGGTCCTTTCTTTTTTTAGCGCGACTGGTCAGTCACCAAATTGGCTCCTCCGGGGAGCAATTTAGTCCATTCGCAATTAGTAAGCTCCAGAGTCGACATGGAAAATGCCTCAGTGCCAAAAGTGACAGCTGCTCCCAGGGGCAGAGAACACTAGAGGCTGACGGCACATAGATTCTGAAAATGTTCAGACTGAAAGCTGAGTTTTTTTACACCTAAAATGAGACATCTGGCAATTTGATAGGGTGACACCACACTTACAAAACTGTTGATATGGAAAAAATTAAAAACTAATAATTTTTTAAGGAGGGTCTTCTATAATGTAGAAATGTTTTTAATTCTCAAATATGTTTAAACCCTAATTCGGCCTACAGAAAAAACTAGGCCTTTAAGAATAAAGGTCTTAAAGCCTGTCTCTAATATTAGCCTCTTTTTTTAGTTTTTTTCAGTCATAAGTACACTGTATTGCAAAAGTTCTTTTAACTCAAAAAAAAAAATGTTGAAATGCATTACCTCAAACATTTTAAGTACACAAACTCAATTTTGTAAGTTAAGAAAGATTATTGATGAAGCACTTTTACTAGTAAATTTCAGTGACACTAACTTAGATTTGTAAGTTACAGAAATTCCTTGATCAAGAATGTTTATTTAACA